GTGGAACTGGACCCCCGTTTTAACGACATCCTGGGCAGGTGGGTGAGCAGAGCCCCCTCCCAGGCCCCCTCCCCTTGGGCGGGCCGTGGGCTGTCAAGGCTGTGAAGGGCAGCACTGGGAATCTTCCCCCTTTCCCTCCGGGGCAGGCATTCCCGCAAGCGATGGGAGCGCTTCGTGCACAGCGAGAATCAGCACCTGGTGAGCACCGAGGCCCTGGACTTCCTGGACAAGCTGCTGCGCTACGACCACCAGACTCGGCTGACGGCCCGCGAGGCCATGGAGCACCCCTACTTCTGTGGGTAGCCGCGTCAGGGTTCCCCTGTGTACCCCAGCCCCCTTGGATGGAGCTCTGTCGCAGACATTGCAGACACAAGGCCCGGGGGCCGGATGCGGCCCGCGAAGTGGTTTCATGTGGCCCACGAAGCCATCCTGGAAACAGGGAGGGAATGGCTCCCGCTGCCTAGGCCCTGGCCCAGGCCGGCCAGGAGCCAATGTACAATTTTGTGGTGGCCATCTACGCTGAAACGCATTCGGTCTTAGCTCCACAAGGCCGTCTGGAAACAGCGAGGAACCAGCCCCTGCCGCGTCGCCCCCGCCCCCTGGGTGCATGCTGGGGAGGGGTCACCCTTTGTGAGGAATGAAGAAATGCACCATGCCTTGGCGCTTGCTCCGGTCCCCCCCCTTCTGCCAGAGACCCTCAAATCTGTCCCACTCCTGCCCAGGCCCCCACAGGCACCCTTGACGCGAATGATGTAGGGCTGGCCACGCCCACCCAGTAGGCCACATCCACTCTATCCACGCCCACCCAGTAGGCCACACCCACCTGGCCCTTGAGGGCAACCGCAATGCTGATGCGGCCCTCAATGAAGTTGAGTTTGACACCCCTGTTTCAGAGGCTTCCTGGGGGGCAGCCCGCCCTGTCCAGCCCTTTTCTCTCAAGACTGCAATGTTTCCCTTTGCGCTGCCATCCTGCCAGGACTCGGCTCTCCCCTTCTGGGTGCTGAGGGGGCAGGCGGCCGAGGGAGCCGTCCGCCTGCATCACTGCTGTTTCTCTTCTTCTCTCTCTTGGTACAGATCCGATCGTGAAGGACCCAGCCAGGCTGGCCTCCTCCACTGTCCTCTCATCGGCTAACACACCTGTCAGCTCCTCCAGCATGTTGGCAGGTAGGCATCGACGGGCCTCAGCCGGGTGGGCAGGGGTGTGCCAGCCGCACCACTGGGTGAATTGGCTTCCCAGGTAGCGTCCTTGACCCCTTCTTTCCTCCTTAATCAGGATAGAGCTGGAAGGGACCTTGGAGGTCTTCTAGTCCAGCCCCCTGCTCAAGCAGGAGACCCTGTACCATTTCAGACAGGTGGCTGTCGAGCCTCTACTTAAAATCCTCCGGTGTTGAAGCAGCCACAACCTCTGAAGCTGTTCCACCAATTAATTGGCCTCACTGTTAGGAAATTCCTTAGTTCCAGGTTGCTTCTCTCCTTGATTAGTTTCCACCCGTTGCTTCTTGTCCTGCCTTCAGGGGCTTTGGAGAATAAGTTGACCCCCCTTTCCTCTTTGGGGCAGCCCCTCAAATACCGGAACGCTGCCCTCTTGTCCCCCCCTCGTCTTTCTTTTCCCCTGAGTGGCCATCCCCACTTCCTGCAACCGTTCTTCCTATGTTTTTGTCTCCAGGCCTCCCTTTTCCTTCCTTTTCTCCACCTGCAGGCATCGCCTCCATGTCAGCCGCCCAGCCCATTGGCAGCTTGGCTGCCTCCCCCGTCATCTCCTCCCCGAATGCGCTGGGCTCGCCAGTCCCCGCAGCCGCCGGAGCTCAGCCGTGACCACCGGAGAGAGCCACTCCTGGCTTTGAGCACCGCCAAGCCCGCAGCCGCGCCCTCCTCCTCCTCCTCCTCACCCCACCTGCCCGCCTCTGCATGGCGCTACCGACGCCCGGGGCGGGCAGGAGGACGGCCCGAGGCGGGGCAGGGGGGAACCCTGCCTCTGGAACCTCCCCCCCTTTTTTTTTTTGTTCGTTTGTTTCTGTTGAGTGTGTTGAGGAGCCGAGTCCAGGCTGCCGCCTCCGCCGCTGCTGCTGCTGCTGCTCTTCCGCCTTCCACCAAGGCAGACTCTCGTTCCGGGCAGAGGCTTCTCCTCTGTGGTTTCTGTCGAGTCCTGTCGGCTGCCTTCTTCCCATGAGGGTCGTGGTTAGTGATGCAACTACAGTGTAGACACCTGAACGGAGAATAAAATTTATTTTCTATGTCCCTAAAGGGGTGTTGGGCCCTGCTTCTTCCTGATGGAGAGAGAGAGACAAGAGAGAGAGAGGACGCCAGAGCACGGGGGTCTCCAAACCGTGGCGGCCCCTTTTGAGACGGGTCGACTTCGGCTCCCAGAATTCCTCAGCCGGCTCTGTGGAAGCCCACCCGTCGTCATGTGTCTGACTAATGAAACACTTCAAAGAACTTTCAGGCATGGTTTAACCTAAAAAACCTTTTATTAGTGTAGAGGGGTGTCAGCACGGCATGGTGGATGCCAAGATCTAAATTTCCCTTCCTTTGCACACAACATTCCAGGCATTTCCCCTCCCCTATTTTGGGGTCATGATTCACATCTTCCAATTAACCTGGAGGGCAAAGATTCACTTCCTGTTCCTTTTCCCGGGCTTTCCTTATAATTCTCCTCCCCTCTCTCTGTCATCTGAATTAACTCTAAAAATACCAGACAGTTCTGCATATTTTGTCAAAGCAAGAATATTCAATATTAGCAGCGTTGACACCCATCTTCAAAGGGGCCACCATGGTTGGAGACCCTTGCCCGTAGCAGACAGGGATGAACGCTGGGAGGGTTTTGGGGTGGTGGTCTGAAGACAAGGGCTCACAAAATCCTGGAATTCGGCCCTGCTTTCCATCTCCGGGCCTGGTCTTGGGTCCCTGCGGCTTGGGCACAGGGCAGGAAGATTCCTTTTTTCGCTCAAGGGAGGGGACTTCCTGTGGGCTACTCGGGGGTTTGGGAGACCCTCCGCAGCACAGGTGGGGCTGGCTGAGCCCTCCCCACGAACAAGAGCTGGGGAGGAAGGGAAGGAGGCGGCCCCATTCCGGCCCTTCAGCTAGAAGCCACTGCAAGATGGTGAATTGAACGGGCGCCCGGCCGTGGGGGGAGGGTCCCCGGGGGCACCAGCATTGCAGTTCGGGAGATCTTAAACTTAGGGAGCAACACAGACCCCCCCCTCTGGTGGTCTTGACGGCGCAACCGAGTCGAGTCAGCCCCTCTCAGGAGTGGGGCAGAGGAGATGCTGCAGTCGGGACAGCTCCTCCCCACGGTGGGTGTTTTCCTGCAGACCGCGCGCAGGTGGTCCTCAACGTACGGCCACAGTTGAGTCCCAAATTTATGTCGCTAAGCGAGAGAGTTGTTAAGTGAGCTTTGCCCCATTTTACGACCTTCCTTGCCACCGTCGTTAAATGAATCACTGCGGTTGTTAAGGTTGCTAAGTGAATCTGGCTTCCCCACAGACTTTGCTTGTCAGAAGGTCACCGAAAGGGGATCACGTGACCCCCCAGGGGACGCTGTGACTGTCGCAACTATGAGTCAGTCGCCATGTGGCTGAATTTTGATCACATGACCCCGGGGGGATGCGGTGGTCATAAGTGTATGAAAAACGGTCTCGTCACTTTTTGCCATGCTGTTGCAACTTGGAAAGGTCACTAAACAGATGCTTGTAAGTTGAGGACTATTTGATAGTCCCAAAAGTTTTTCCAGTCCTCCTCCTTCGCCCTTGTAGTGGCAGGACCCCCCCCCCCACCGAGAGGAGTTCCCCACCTCCCCCCGAGCCTTCCATCAGTTGCATAACAGGAGGCCGTCCTCGGGACCCCGCCCAACCCAGAACCCCTCCCAGATGGCAGCTGTGCCAGCCTGATGCCCTCGGAGGACTCAGGATGCCCCTCTGGTGTTCGCTGGTGGGTACCAAAGGGAAGGGAGGCCCCTCCAGCCCTCGGCTCTCCACTCCCAGGGGACTTTCTCCTCCGTCACTAATAGGGTCACCAGCTGACATGGTGGGGATGTGGAGCTGGTCTTCCTGACGGGTGAGAAAGCCCAGAGGTGGCAGGAGGGTGGCACTGGAACCTCTAAATCACCAGGGAGGAAACCGACAAGATCAGCGTTACGCTCTGGCTCGGGTCCCCAACCCCCGGGCTGTGGTCCGGCACCAGTCCGCGGTCTGCCCAGCAAGCAAAGCCCCATCCATGCTCACAGGGATCCAGGCAGTGTGTGAAGCCACCCATCCTGGTTCCACTGAAGAACCGACCTCCACGGAACAGGTCTCTGGTGCCCAAAAGGTTTCGTGGTAGTGGTGGAGGGAGTGAGTCTCTGCCGTAGCTTGTTCCTCATGGCAGGGAAGTAGTCCCGGCAGAGCTGGCTGGCTGGCAAGCTCAGCCCGTTCTCTGTGGCTTCCTAATCTTGAGAGTGGAACCTGGTTTGTCTCATTCCCTTCTGGGGCCAACTGAGGGGATCAGGACTGATACCTCTGGAACCCCTGTGAAATGGAGAGGCTGACTGAGAACAGAAGGTGCAGAGGAGGGGGGCACCGTCATTGAGTAGCGCGCTCAACATCGCTTCCTGTCTCGGATGGTTCAGGGCAGGGCTGGGGAACCAGGGTCCTTTCACGACTGGCCTGGCTCAGGAATGGTGGGAGTTGAAGTCCACAAGTCATGAAAGGGCCCCGGTTCCCCACCCCTGCTTTAGGGCATCCTCCTTCCCTGTGTGCTGTCGGGCTTCCGGACGTGGCGGATGCAAATACCTGCGGAGACGCCATCCGAGGCTTAATTCATGCGCTTGTAGGCTGGTTCACCCAGTAAGCCCTGAGCCTCTCATCGGAAGACGAGAGCTGGGTTCAAGAGACGTGCCGTCCCCAAATGAATCGGAGCATTTGCTGACCTGTAAGCCTCTCACTTCGTGGGACAAAGCCAAACAGGGTGTCGGGCCATCAACGGAACCCGCTCCTTCGCTTCTGCTTGGAGGTGGTTCGTGAATCGGATTCCGCTTGGAGGTGGTTCGTGATTCCCACTTTCCCTGCCCTCCATTCGTGGGATTGCCTGGTTTATTGCTAGGAATATTTTAACCAAAAGCTGCTCTCCTACACCCGGAAGGGGAACTCTCTGCTCCAGTGTTTTGCTCCGTGCTCTGCCCAAGACTCTTCGAGAGATGGCTGGCCAGTGTCTGTGTGCGGAGCACCCTGGCAAAAAGGGGACGGACCGTGTTCCAGGAACTTCCTCCTAATTGATTGATTGATTGATGATGTGCCATCAGAGCCACTAGCACTGATGGTGTTACCTGGTTGGGTAATGAAATGTCTTTGAGAAAACAACCAAGCTCAGAGAACACCACGGACCGCACACTCCCTCCCTCCCTCTCCTGTAGTCCAACCCTGTGTTGAAGCAAGAGACCACCACATTTTGGACAAATGGCTGTCCAATCTCTTCTTTAAAACCTCCAGTGTTGGATCACCCACAACTTCTGGAGGCAACTTCTGTTCCACTGGTTAATTGTTCTCACTGTCGGGAAATTCCTCCTTACTTCTCAGTTGCTTCTCTCCTTGGTTATTTCCCACCCGTTGCTTCTTCTCCTGCCTTCTGGTGCTGTGGACTTATAGGAGGATGTTATAAGAGGGATTGATGTAAGACTGCAACACCAAACAGATCTTGAAGACCTAGACGTTGCCCTCTCCTTTGTGATCTGCCCCTCTTGGCCTTTTGTGTCTTAGCAACCAATCCCAGAAACAAAACAATTGCTCAGAGTAGGTTTATTTAAGAGAATCAAGATTGACTTGAGTTATCCATTATCCTTGTCCCTGTCCTGACACGCAAGTCTCCTGGCTACACACCCTGGTCCCGTAGACTTCCACCTCGCACAGTGCCAGGGATACTGTGCGGCCAGGAACGGTGACGGTGACATAGCGTCCCACACGACCGTCGCAGGAGATGGTGTTGATGGAGCCCAGACGGGTGTCGGTGATTCTCCCACAGCTGTTGGAAGAGAAAAAGGGAAGACCCTCCCCCATGGTTTGTCACAGTTCAGAAGGAGCGAATCAAAAGAGGAGTTAATGCATTCCTACAAACGGTAACATATACTAGTTTGAGAACGTCTCCTCAGGACTTTTCAAGGCACCTGGGTTGATCTCATAGCAGCCACAGCAGAAGCAATTCCATGGTTAAGCTTTCTGGGATATTGAACTATAACGTCTATCCCATTGCGAGAGAATGGCACCATATTATGGTTTTATCTTAATATTTTACTTCCTGTTCTTAGATGATTTAGGTCAGTGATGGCGAACCTTTTAGAGGCCGAGTGCCCAAACTGCACCCCAAAACCCACTTATGCATCATCGAGTGCCGGCTGGGTGTGGCCCATTGGCTGGGTGTGGCCAATTGGGTGGGCGCGGCTGCGGTGGTAACAGCAGACTGAGTGAGACTAAAAAGTTCAATCAATCAATTTCAACTTTGCAAGATCTTTTTTTCCCTGCGAGAAGTTGAAATTGACTGAACCTTTTTTTTTTTTTTGCACATGGCGGCGGAGGCCTAAAGCGAAAAGATTTTATAAAACCCAGCTGAAGGCCTAGGACTGGGGCGACAGCGCGCGTGCCCACAGAGAGGGCTCTGAGTGCCGCCTCTGGCACCCGTGCCATAGGTTCGCCACCACTGATTTAGGTATTACAATTTTAGGTATAAAGTTGTACATACCGGTAATAACGGTTTGCCTGCAAATGACTTTTATAGTTTTAATCATAATGTAACGTGTGAACAACCGATTTAAACCTAATGTAAGCTGCTTTAAACACGGTTTGACGGTTGTCAAATTTCTGGAATTTTGTACCCGATTTCAGTTGTCTACTCTAAAGCTACTAACTTTGATAGTTTTAATTCTAACTTAACTTCTGTGAACTTCATTAAGAGGTTCCCAAAGGGGCATGCATAAGTGCCTATTGTCCCTGTCACATTTTAATTTTTTTCCTTTAAAATAAAAAAAATGTATTGCCTATTTGTCTGTCTCTCTATTTCCATTACCTCTCCCTCCCTCTCTCCCATCCATGTCTGTCCGTCCGTCCGTCCGTCCGTCCGTCCGTCCGTCTATCTATCTATCTATCTATCTATCTATCTATCTATCTATCTATCTATCTATCTATCTATCTATCTATCTATCTATCTATCTATCTATCTAATTTCATGGTGCTTTATTTAAATTTATATTTGTATGTCATGATTGCATGACCTCTGTAGATGCTATACACTAAATAAAATTAAGAAATGCATTCCTAAAAAAAGACATGCATAGATTTCCCCTGTGATTATGTAGGGCAGATGGGGAGGAAGCTAACCACCAGATTGCAAGAATACAAACAAGCATTCAGACGAGGAGACCTGAACTCATTGGTAGCTTCCCACTGCAGTGAACAGGAACACACATTCAATTTTGCAACTACTAAGATTGTCGGACGAGCAGGCACAAAAACAGCCAGGGAAGTGATTGAAGCCTGGGAAACAGGCCCTTTGTTAGTCAACAGGCCCTTTGTTACCACCAGCCTATCAAGTGCTTAGAAGGTGAGGGATGGCCAGCACTCTGCAAATGACAGCCAACGACTTAATAGCCACCATCAACACACCCCAATCAACATCTAAAAAGCCACATACACCGTATAAATACTATACACAGCATGCTGCTAGAGAGACGTTCCCTAAAGATGGGCTCCAGCATGAGTCCAAAAGCTCGGAAGACAAAAATCTGTGATCCCGGTGACTGACCCAGATTGAATCCTAAAAAAGATATTCCCAAATATGGAAGCCTTAAATATTTTAGCCTTTGTTGTTGTTGTTAGTTGCGAAGTCGTGTCCGACCCATGGCGACCCCATGGACAACATTCCTCCAGGCCTTCCTGTCCTCTACCATCTTCTGGAGTCCATTTAAGTTCACGCCTGCTGCTTCAGTGACTCCATCCAGCCACCTCCTTCTCTGTCGTCCCCTTCTATTTTATTTTATTTTTATTTTATTTATTTTAGCCTTACCCCACCCCAAATCTAAGCACTGGCCTCCTCTATGAGGTCTTGGGTGCTACCAAACTGACGTCATTTTCCTAGCCACTTTGGCTCCTGTCTAGCCACTTTCTGCGAAAAGAGGAACTTACAGAGGATTGTTTTTTCCGTGGTTGCTCACAAAGTTTCCCACACGGATCTCTGCTCCCTGGAGCCTTTCTCCGCAGCAGTCCTCACGGTTTTTCACCACCACGGAAGAAATGGCATACCGTCTACCCAGGTCCACGTACCACCAGGGCCCCCTTTCTTGCTTCGTGTGGGTGCAGGTGTTCTGCCCAATCCAGCGTCCATTACAGTTCCCATCCACGGCTTTGCTTGCAACTGAATTGAACTGGCTTGGAAAGGTGGAAGACTGGAAAGCTGGACGTCCTTTGGCCACGTTTGTAACTAGGAGGAGGTTTGGGAGAAGAAAGGCATCTCAGAATGTGTTCTCGGTTGACTTTTGTTCTCTGGATTTGCACACAAACATCCCGGAGGAAACGCAACGTTCCCTGGGACAACTTTCAACTCTCTTGAAGGGTTGCTACTTGCTGGAGACCAGTTTGGAAGAGCACAAGGGAGGGAAACACGGATGACCCTCTGGACTTTCCTGTGTGCCTGACCAGGAAGTGGCTGTCCAGAATGAGTGGGCAGAAGCAGTCTGGAGAGCTATTCACGGATGTCAAATATTATATTAGTTTATCAAAATATAAAATACAGGAATATAAAGAAAATTGAAGGCAATGGGAAAATAAGGGAGTGTGGGAAGGGCACCCTCAGGAAATGAAGAACAAAGACAGCAGAATTTGTTCTCGGTTGACTTTTGTTCTCTGGATCTGCACACAAACGTCCAGGAGCTAACACAAAGTCCCTGGGACAACTTTCAACTTTCTTAAAGTCTTGCTGTCTGCTGGTGACCACTTGGAAAAGCACAATGTAGGGAAAGATAGGTAGGTGGACCTCTGCACTTTCCTGCGTGTCTGACCAGGAAGTGGCCGAACAGATTGAGTGGACAGAGGCAGGCTGGAGAGCTTCTCGTGAGAAGAACAGAATTGGGGAGTTCTCCTAACTTGGTCATTCTCCGTATTTGCTTTCTTTTTCAAGGGTGGAAAGGAGAATGCCTGATCGAGACCCTCCTTGTGAGCCAGGAATGTGGTGCACTCAGAGTCGGTCTTCATATCAAGGAAGGCGACTTCCAGGGTGGAAATGACATACTGCAGGTGTCTTTGCTAAAGGTGGAGCTCCTGAGTGTGGCAGAGCTACCAAGTAGACGGGCTCTTAGTAATTCCTCTCTGGACAAGAAGAGGACTTGAGATCACCCTCTAGTGCAGGGGTAGTCAACCTTGGCTCTTTTATGACGCGTGGACTTCAACTCCCAGAATTCCTGAGCCAGCTTAGCTTAGCTGGCTCAGGAATTCTGGGAGTTGAAGTCCACGCGTCATAAAAGAGCCAAGGTTGTCTACCCCTGCTCTTGTGCTTCAGATAGCTGCTCCTCATGAGACCACAAGACAGCCGTCTCTGGTGGGTTTAGATCTCTGGAAGACAAGGGAACACCATCTCTGCTCAAATCATAGCTGGCACTTTCAGGGACACAGGATTTACATATTTTCTAATCACTCTTGGAAATAGCTTGTCAATTATTTTTCAGCTATTTGTTTCCACCCGTTGCTTCTTGTCCTGCCTTCAGGTGCTTTGGAGAATAGCTTGACTCCCTCTTCTTTGGGGCAGCCCCTGAGATACTGGAAGACTGCTATCATTTCCCCCCCCTCGTACTTCTCTTCATTAAACTAGACATACCAACTACCAACGTCACCATCCCAAGCATGATGATAACAATAATAACAGCAGCATCCCAAAGTGCCAAATTATTACCGATGCTCTATCTTCTATTTTTTCTTCTCTGCACTTTCTAATTGTTGTATTCCTTCCTTTTAGTTTGCGCTACTTTTTAATCTCTTTAATTTGTGATGTTTAATGAAAGCCACCAAGGAAGGCAAGAGCGGCGCTCTCCTTTCCCCTTCAGTCATTGGAGCTGGCCAAACTCCATCCAAGGTGAGAATTGAGTTCTCCCCCGTCCGCAGCACTTACCGACGCCTATCAGGTCCGGTCTGCAGCTCTGGGCCTCCCCCTGGCCTGCCAGGAGCCCCAGAATAGGCAGCCACATCCAGGTGAGAAGCATCGTCCTGTGAGAGGACAAAGCAGAGGACAGTGAGAAGGAGCACAACAATCAATAAAACACATACTTAAGAATAAAGGTGCCCTTCTCTCTTAAGATTAAAGTAAGGTTCTACATTTAGGCAAGAAAAACCAAATGTACAGGTATAGTATGGGGGTACCTTGTTCAATAGTAGTAACTGTGAGAGGGACCTCGGAGTCCTAGTGGACAATCCCTTAAATAGGAGCCAGCCGTGTGCTGCAGCTGCCAAAAAGGCCAACACAGGGCTAGGCTGCATTAACAGAGGGAGAGAATCAAGATCATGTGAAGTGTTAATACCACTTTACAAGGCCTTGGTAAGGCCACAGTTGGAATACTGCATCCAGTTTCGGTCACCAGGATGTAAAAAAGATGCTGAGACTCTAGAAAGAGTGCAGAGAAGAGCAACAAAGATGATCAGGGGACTGGAGGCTAAAACATATAAGGAACGGTTGCTGGAATTGGGTATGTCTAGTTTAACGAAGAGAAGGACAAGGGGGGGCATGATAGCAGCCTTCCAGTATCTCAGGGGCTGCCACAAAGAAGAGGGAGTCAAGCTATTCTCCAAAGCCCCTGAAGGCAGGACAAGAAGCAACGGGTGGAAATAATCAAGGAGAGAAGCAACCTAGAACTAAGGAGAAACTTCCTGACAGTTAGAACAATTGACCAGTGGAACCACCTGCCTCCAGAAGGGGTGAATGCTCCAACGCTGGAGGTCTTTAAGAAGAGACTGGACAGCCATTTGTCCGAAATGCTATAGGGTTTCCTGCCTGAGCAGGGGGTTGGACTAGATGACCTCCAAGGTCCCTTCCAACTTTATCATCATTATTATTATTATATCCACAGTTTAACTCCCATCCTAGATTTGGGGGAATCCAGCTAATACTGGAGGGGGGGGTGTTAAGAGGGGGCTGAGCTTGGAGTCCTTGCACTGAAGAAGGCGGAAAGGGCCTGACCTGCCCCAGAATCCCTGAAGCCTTAACTTGCCTTTCCCAAGGGAACGCAGTCAGTCTGGTGAGATTCCTGCAACAGAGGTGATCAGCAATAAAGCTTCTATTTGGGACACCTCACAAGTGCTTCTGGTTGCTTTGACTGCTTGGGGGAAAAACCAGGTCTTTACAGCCCCCTGAAGGCTAAAAGGGCAGGAATGGAGTTTCCTGGCCTGAGTACAACGCACAGTTAATCCACTTTCAAACAACACCTGAAATGCTGCATCCAGTTTTGATCTCCACATTACAAAAAAGATGTTGAGACTCAAAAAAAAAGTGCAAAGAAGAGCAACTAAGATGATTAAGGGCCTGGAGGCTAAAACATAGGAAGAACAGTTGCAGGAACTGGGCATGGCTAGTCTAGTGAAGAGAAGGGCAAGGGGAGACATGATAGCAGTCTTCCACTATTTGAGGGGCTGCCCCAAAGAAAAGAGGGTTAAGCTATTCTCCAAAGTGCCTGAAGGCGGGAGAAGAAGCAATGGATGGAAACTAATCAAGGAGAGAAGCAACCTGGAACTAAGGAGAAATTTCTTGACTATGACGACAATTAACCAGTGGAACAGCTTCCCTCCAGAAGTTGTTGGTGCTTCATCACTGGAAGTTTCTAAGAAAATATTGGACAGTTATTTGTCTGAAATGGTCTAGGGCAGGGGTATCAAACTGCCAGCCTGCAGGTCAGACGTGTCACGATAAATGGCACCCACCCCATTGCCAGCAATGGGGAAAAAGCTCTGATACGTTGCACGATGTCACGTGATGTCGCAGGTTTGACATGTCTGGTCTAGGGTCTCCTGCTTGAGCTAGGGGGTTGGACTAGAAGACCTCCAAGGTCCCTTCCAGCTCTATTCTGATTGATTGATGGATTGAACACTTGTTCGGATGAGGGTTGATTCCCTTCAGCCTGATCTGCCAATGGTGCCTTAAATGCGAGCAATCCCAGATCCAATTTGCCACATTGGAGAGCGAGGAAGCTCCTGATGAACTGGGAAGATCGGAGGGAAGCAGGAAGCGAAAGGTTAATTGCAGGAGGCAGATCTTATCCTGACAGAGGATTGGAGCAGAATAATCTTGGGCAAATATTGACCCTGTTGGCAGGCAATACAGATTTCCTCTGCAGAGCTTCTTGGGATGCTGGGGTAGGTAGCCACAATTCTCAATTTCTAGGACTGTTTTTTGCAAAACCACCTGATATTTCCATAGAGGACATCTAATCCATCTTAATTATGGCCACAGGGAAATATTCTGGAAACATTTTTGGAAGTGTTGCCCTGGCCTTCTTTTTAGGCCTGAGAAAGCGTGACTGGCCCAAGGTCATCTAGTTCCGGAGTCTCTACCTTGGCTGGCTGAGGAATTCTGGGAGTTGAAGCCCACAAGTCTTCAAGTTGCCAAGGCTGGAGACTCCTGATCTAGTTGACTTTCATCCCTGTGGCAGGATAAGGATTTGTGGTCTCCTAGAGCCCGGCCATAACAGTGTCTCAATTTGCGGTCTATAAATGATCTAAGCCAGGGGTCGGCAACCTTAAAGACTCAAAGAGCCATTTGGACCCATTTCTCAGAGAAAATAAAAAACTGGGAGCCACAAAACCCTGCTGCTTACCTCCCCCTCCCGCATGGAGTGCCCTGTCACCCCTGCTTCCACCCTCCCACCCCCAACGGAGCACTCCACCGCCGCTGCTGCTTCCCCCCTGCATGAAGCATCCCGCTGCCACTGCTTCCGTCACCCCCCGACGGAGCACTCCACCACCGCCGCTGCTTCCCCCCAGGACGGAGTGCTTCGCCGCTGCTTCCCCCAGTGGCAAAGGTGGAGTTTGGGAGGCAGCAGCCGGGTGTAGCCCAGGTGTGGCCCAGCAGCAAAGAGGGAGTCAAGCTATTTTCCAAAGCGCCTGAAGGCAGGACAAGAAGCAATGGGTGGAAACTAATCAAGGAGAGAAGCAACCTAAGAATTTCCTGACAGTTGGAACAATTAACCAGTGGAACCACCTGCCTCCAGAAGTGGTGAATGCTCCAACACTGGAAGTTTTTAAGAAGAGACTGGACAGCCATTTGTCCGAAATGGTATAGGGTTTCCTGCCTGAGCAGGGGGTTGGACTAGATGACCTTCAAGGTCCCTTCCAACTTTACTATTATTATTATTATTATTATTATTATTATTATTATTATTATTATTATTATTATTATTATTATTATTATTATTATTATTATTATCATTATTATTATCATTATCATTATCATTATCATTATCATTATCATTATCATTATCATTATTATTATTACTCAAGTGGCTACCAGTGGCTTGGGTGCCTCTGCTCCATCCGAGTTGAAGAAAGCGGAGGCGCAGCAGTAGGATTGCTCTCAATAAGTCTGGCGCACACGAGCGAGCAGCGCACCCAGCTCTCATTGTTTGAGAGCAATCCTGCTGCTGGACCTTTGCTTTCTTCATCTCGGACGGAGCAGACCCATCCAAGCCGCTGGCAGCCGATTGAGTGGGCAGGACGAGGAGGAGGAGGAGGAGAAGAGCGTGAGGGCGGATGGCCAGGTGAGGCCGGGCGATGGTGGCTGGCTGGCTGGGGAGGGGGGAATCATGGTCACTCGGGGGGCCTCTGACAAGCTTCATGGCAGCGGCATTGGCAAACCCCCCCCCAGCCCATTTCCCTGTCTCCGTATAAGTTGCTTGGCAAAAATCCCACGCCCCCGATCGGACAGACGTGGCATCTTCTTTCTAGCTCCACCACGGTCCTCTGTCACTTCCTCTGCCACTGCCTGCAGTCCCACAAACAAAAGAGGTTTGTGGGCAGTCCCACAAACAAAAGAAGTGGGACTAAAAAAGTTCAATCAATCAATTCCAACTTCTGCAAGATTTTTTTTTTGTTGCGGCGAGAAGTTGGAATTGATTGATTGAACTTTTTTAGTCCCACTTCTTTTGTTTGTGAGACTGCACACGGCGGTGGAGGACTGGGAGCCGAGCCGCGGGTTGCTGACCCCTGATCTAAGCATACACAAGCACACTCAACACTCTTCAAACGTTTTGTGTGTCAACTCCCACCCAGATGAAAAGCATTTTGTAAATAGGTCCCTCAAGGTGGGGACTCCCTGTTCAAGGTAGAGAAGGCAGCTGGTTCTGGTCTGAGGCATTTGCTCCACAGGCTTTGTTTAACTCAGGGGTCCTCAACCTTGGCAACTCTAAGACTTGTGGACTTCAACTCCCAGAATTCCTCAGCCAGCTTTGCTGGCTGAGGAATTCTGGGAGTTGAAGTCCACAAGTCTTAAAGTTGCCAAGATGGAGGACCCCTGCTCTAACTCACCTGGCGTCTCTCCCTTGCCCAGCCAAATGGATGAGATGAGCTTTCACAGGTGGTCCTCTTCAAACAGTGATTTCTCCAAAATATCCACACTTTTCTCTACCAGATATTTTTTAACTTCCTTCCTAATGGGGTGGCTCCTCCTCCTTCAGAGAGCCCAGCCAACCAATGGAAAGCTGCAGAGCTTCTGATGGAGACCAATCAAGACCAGGTTACAACTCTCCCATTGGTTGTTTCCTCCATGCCTCTGGGTCTTGGCAGTGGGGGGGGGGAGAGGAGATGTTACACAACCCACATCCTGCAGGATCTCACCTCCTCTTTCCAAGCAACTCTCTTCTTGAGAGGAACATAATGGTCTTCTTTGGCAGATGCCAACTGGGTTCCTTATCAGAACATCTGCATTGTCTGTGAGCAAACAGCAGTTAGGAATGTTTTTACAGGATTCGAGCATGCTCACACCTCCAAAGTCAACATGAGTGGGCAGCTGCATTTGCTGGAGAGGGCCAGAATAATGGATCTGGAGAGAGAAGGGCCTCCTACAGTAGATGTTGCTGAGACTCTACAAAGAACGCAGAGAAGAGCAACATTGAGGATTCGGTGACTGAAGGCTAAAACATGAAGAAAGTTTGCAGGAATCGGTTATGTCTACTTTATTGAAAAGAAGGAGTAAGGGTGACACGAGATCAGTCTTCCAATATTTGAGGGGCTGCCACAAAAAAGAGAGGTCAACCTATTCTCCAAAGCACCTAAAAGCAGGACAAGAAATGATGGAAGATAATCAAGGAGATGCAACATAGAATTAAGGAGAAATTTCCTGGCAATCAATCAGTGGAACGACTTGCCTCCAGAAGTTGTGGGTGTTCCATCCCTGGAGGTTTTTAAGAAGAGATTGAACAACTGTTTGTCTGAAATGGTATAGGGTCTCTTGCTGGAGGTAGGGGTTGGACTAGAAGACCTCCAAGGTCCCTCCCAACTCTGTAATTCTGTTATTCTTCTTTCTGTTTCTTAAGGGGTCACCAGTCTTGGAGGGCCACTTAGCCTGGAATCTTGCAAGGAAGAATTAAGCTTTCCTGTCCAAAGACTATTTGGCCTTACAAAGCAGAGGAAGCCAGAATGTCCACTGAAATTAAGCAGTGAGCAATCAAGAACAGATGAATGGAAGAACATTCTCTGCAGAGATGCCCTGTGAGATTTCTCTCCATAAGACAGATTTCCTGGTTGGCCTTCAAGTAACAATACAGCTTGAGTTATGGCCACAACTGAGCCAAGGAGTATGTTAAGCCAGGTGTCCACCTCATTCAACACCTGCAATTCCAGCTCCCGCATTGCGGTAGGTAACTGGTTAGTGAAGCCAGGGGGCTCCAAACCTGGCAATTTTAAGACTTGTGGACTTCAACTCCCAGAATTCCCCAGCCAGCCATGGGGAATTCTGGCTGTTGAGGTGAACTTCCTGGTTGACTTTCCAGGGTCCATAATAAGCAAATTCAGCAGGACAAAAGGGAGAAAATGAGAGCAAACAATTGCTATCCAGAATTTCAATATTGAACAATTTGAAATCCAGTCACTGTGGACGTTGTACTGTGTACAAAGTTGGAGAGAAATCTTGTCATTGCCAAAAGCTTTGGATTGGCCAATGGGAGAACTGGATGATGCGTTGTGTCCTTTTATTACTCTGTGGGAAGTCAGCCCCCACCCCAGAGAAGGAAATATTAAAGAGGCAGAAAAGCATGCCCAGTTTTTCTTAATAGTCCCAAGTCCCCCTCCCACAAACAGAAACCAGCTCTGTAGAAATGCAGATGTGATAATCCATTCAGGAAGGTTGGAGGCCCCCAGCTAGAAGTTTAGGAAGACAAAGACACCTAAAATCTACATATCCCACCCAAACTCTAAGACAGGACATAATAGGATTAACCCACAGATGCCAAAGGGCACACTCAGACTCAGGTCAAAGTTCATGCCACAGGAACAACTCCAAATAAAAGGCTCCAGAAGGTATAAAAACCCACTCCCTACGTGTGCTCCCTCTCTCTTCTTCCAGAGCCATCTTCCTGTCTGGCTCTCCTCTTCAATAAACTGCAACCTTCTTTCTAAAGCAGTCGCCATGTTGTTTATTCCCGGCTTGGACTGAACCATGACGAAGACTTTTCCTCCAACAACTCTTTCTTTTACAGCTTTGTTTATTATTTAAGCGTGACCTGCTGCTTTTGAGATACAAGTATGCAAGGTCCTCAAACCTTTAGATAATTGAACAAAATCTCCTTGCATTGTGCTGGATTCCTGGTGCTTTCCTACATATGTGTACTGAGATTCCTGCACAGCAATCAGTGGAAGGGATTGTGTTGTTCCAATACAATAAATATATATAAAGAGTAGAGTATAATAAATCCCTCGATTAAATATTGACCAGGTAGGCAAACATGAAGCAGACTGCCTTGGCAATTGCTGTGTGATCTGGGCTGTGACATTTGCCTGTCCCTGGCAGTCAACAGACATCAGGGGGTTCCTGAAAGTGCTGAGGGTCTAGCAAGGGGTTTCATTGAGCTCCTGGGGGAATCGGGAGGCAACCCAGATGGTTCAAATAAAACATACAAAGAACAGTTGCAGGAATTCGGTATGTCTAGTCTAATGAAAAGAAGGACCAGGGTTGGCCTGATAGCAGGGTTCCAGTATCTGAGGGGCTGCCCCAAAGCAGAGGGGAGGGTCCAACTATTCTCAAAAGCACCTGAGTGGAGGACAAGAAGCAACGGATGGAAACTAATCAAGGAGAGAACCAACCCAGAACTAAGGAGAAATTTCCTGACAGTGAGAGCAATCAACCAGTGGAATGGTTTGCCTCCAGAAGTTGTGGGTGCTCCATCACAAGAGGTTTTTTAACAAGAGTCTGGACAGGCATTTGTTTGAAATGGTTTAGGGTCTCCTGCTTAGACAACAGATTGGACTAGAAGACCTTCAGGGTCCCTTCGAACTCTGTTATTCTTCTATGGAGGCCATATTTCAAACCAAACCCAGAAACAAAACAATTGCTCAAAGCAAGTTTATTTGAGAGACAAGAGTTATATAAATTATCAATTATCCTTGTTTCTGCTCCTTGCCACACACCTGGATCCCACACCTGGATCCCACAGACCTCCACCTCACACAGTTCTCTCCCTGATTAGTTTCCACCCATTGCTTTGGACTTACCGTATATACTCGAGTATAAGCCGAGTTTTTCAGCCCATTTTTGGGGCTGAAAAATGCCCCCCTCGGCTTATACTCGAGTCAGCGTCTCGAAGCAGCTGCTGCTGTCACCGCCGCCGCCAGGCAAGCCACGGCGGCTCGCCGCTCGCTCCCCCTCCCCTGGCGCTGCGCTGCGCTCCGCCTGCTTGCCCAGCTCATTGCTGCTGCGGCCGCCGC